ATTCACTAGCTCTGTGAGCAAGTCACTTAATTCATTAAAAATATTTTGTTATGCTCCTGCTCTGTAGAAGGGACTTTGCTAGTTTTCACAGATAAAGGACAAAAAAATGAAGTAGCTGTTATACTCAAGGATCTTATGTTCTACTGGGGCATACAATACAAACACAGAGAAGTGTATCTAATATGGTTTGGGAGAGAATATTACTAACTAGGGGGAAATATATTAGTAGTAATACCCAAGATACACTTTGATTAAAACCAGGGATGCTATAAGGTAGAGGGCAGTGCAATCCATACATAGGGGACCATTTTTTCAAAGGCACTGAAATGAGGCATGGAATATCACATATGAGGTACAAGTAACAGGTTAATTTGACTGGAGACTGCATGAAAAGAAATTATATGAAACTTTTGGAAAGGAAAGTAGGAGCCAAATTGTAGAGATCTTCAAATGCTATGCTGAGGACTTGTATTTTTTTTTTTCATAAAGGCAATAGGGAGCTATTGAAGGCTTTTTAAATGGGGAGGAACCTATCATTTTAGAGGTCTGTGGAGGATGGATTGTGAAGGAAGAGCCAAAGATGACTGTAATAGTGTGAGTCAGTGACTAGATTCTGGCACAATTTCAGAAATGTCAGAGTTTGGAGGAAAGATGGGGTTGGAGGAAAGGTGAGTTCTGTTTCAGACATGTTGAGCTGGAGCTACTCATGGGATAGCAAGATGGAGAATTCTGTCAGCCAAGGGCAAGGAAGGGGGAAAGAGAAGGGAACAAGTATTTATGTAGTGCCTACCATGTGCCAAGCACTGTGCTAACTTCTTTACAAATCTTGTTTGCCCCTCACAACCCTGAGAGGTGAGTTGTACTATTATCCCAATTTTACAGTCGAAGAAACTGAGGTAATCAGAGATTACATGTTGTCCAGGGTCATATAGCCAGTATATGACAGGCCAGATTTTAATTCAGGTCTTCCTGACTCCAAGTCCAATACTCTATCCACTGTACCACATAGCTTTCTCAGGGCAGGGAGTATTTTGTTTTTCTCTTTTTATCTCCAGTGGCTAGCACAGTTCTTTATCAAATATTTATTAAATAGAATTTATTGGTGGACTGGAGTTTAAAAGAGAGAGATATTAGGGTTTTATCTGTAGGTTTGAGTCAACTAATAGGGGTGATGATTGGACCCATAGGAGCTAATCAGATCACCAAGGAAGAGATATAGAGAGAGAATAGAAGAGCGCCAGGGAAAGAGTCTTAGAGGATGCCCACACTAATCCTCTATGATCTTCAGTTTTCTTGTTTGTTCAATGGGGATAATAATATCTATAACACCTATTAGACCTGACTGTTGTGACACTCAAATGACATAATATATGTAAAGTGCCTTGCAAAGTTAAAGTGCTAAGTTAAGTGCAATAATTATTGAGGTGGCTAGGTGGTATAGTAGATACAGTTTCAGACTTGACATCAAGAAGGCGTGAGTTCAAATCCTGCCTCAGACACTTACTAGCCTGGGCAAGTCATCTAACTTTATCAGCTTTAGCTTACGTTTCTGTAAATTGGGCATAATAATAATGCCTACTTCACAGGATTATTGTGAAGATCAAATGGGATAATATATCTAAAGCACTTTGCAAAACATAAAAGATATGTAAATGTTAGTTATCTGTTTTTATTTTATTATATTTTTATTATATTTTATTATTATTGTCTCCCACTTCTTGCTCTTATGGGAAATGGTAGATTGCAGCTCCCCAGGCAGCACTTAGAGACATCAGGTTGTGAAGAGAAGGTTGAATTAATTTGGTAGGGTGCTATCTTGAAGCCAGAATGAATATGGTCAGCATTAGAGCTTGGAAGGAGAGGCAGAGGTCAGGAAGATTGTACATTTGTGAAAGCTGAGAGGAAACATGTAGGTGAAGGAGGGAGCTCACTGCTTCCATTGTACATATGAGGAAACAGAAGCTCAGGAAACTGAAATAAATTGCATATGGTCACACAGCCTAAGGTTTGGTTTCAACCTAGGTGTCTCTTGACTTTTATTCTTTCTACTGCTCCATGCTGAGTGCACTTCAAGAATTAGATATTTATTGTGTTGTATGGATGCATGTAAATGGAATAGTGCTTGTGATCTGTCTAGTAACACCTCTTTCCCCCCATAGCACATAGTAGTATAGAGCAAGAGATGATGGGAACTGTAACATTATATTCTTTCTAGTACAGTTTATTTGAGGTACAGGCAGCTGTTTCTGAAGAAGAGTATCTGGGGGCAAGGTAGGGATAAGGGAGAAACCATGTAGCTTGAACTAGAAGATAGTAGGCCATTGCAGATTTCTCTAGAAACTGTTATTTCTAACAGGTTTTGGGACCCAAAATACCCCTACCTGTCTAAGGAGTGTGTGTATGGACAAGCAATATAGGGACATGAGGCAGCACTGGATTTGGAGTGATGAAACCACGGGTTCACATCCTGACTCAAACACTTCCTTGTTGTGTGACCTAGAGGAAGTCATTTAACTTCTTGGGGCTTCAGTTTTCTTTTTAAAATAGGAGTGGTTGGATTCAGTGGACTCAAAGGTCCCCTTTAACTCTGACTGTATGATCCCATGGCCTCTGATTTGGATGTTTGGAAAAGAAGGAAGTAAGGGGAAGAAATGGTAGAAGGATCCTACTTCAGTCTGTAGTCATTGGAATTTCATCTTCCTCTCCTGTGATACCAGATTTTAGACTTAATAAGATTACATGTTGCCTGCCCTGGAGCAGACCTGCACACTGGAATTATGACAGTGCATACTTAAAGATTCAACATTCTTATAGCAAGCAGATCTTAAGGACTTGGGATTCTGTGATGAACGAATATCTGCAGACTCAATATTTCTATTATGAGAATGGATATCAAGACACAAAACCTTTTGTGGACACCTAAGTTAGTGATCCGCCATGTCCTGTTTCACTAGAGTCAGTAATGTGCTAAAAACAGCATGATGGTACCAGGACCTACTGCTGAACTGCCAACCTTCCATTTTCTATGGAAGGAGGGAAAGAGGAGAACTGGGGAGGGGGGGTGGTTTGGAGATGATTTTGAGAGTTTTTTTTTAATGGTTAGGGATATAATTAGGGGAATTCCTTTGTCAACTTGATGGGCTAACAATGTGGTAAGCCTTTGTCTGGGATTTTGAATCTTGCTTTTATTTTTGTTTTAATTCTTCTTTTGTATCATGAACTTAACCATTAATAAACATGAACAATTCATTTTAAAAAGAAAAAAGGATTATATATGAAATTGGAAACTTTTGATATATACAGCTTGTTTTTTAAAAGTGCATATTAAATTCAACATGGTAGTAACATGGTAAAACAGTGCCCTGTTTTGGTCTCCTTCTGAACGTTTTTATTCTATGTGCTTTTAAAAATGTTTTATTGATGTCCTTTTATTTACTTGTACTGCTACTCAAGAGCTCATCCTCCACATCCTGCCCCCACAGAAGAGAAAGTCTTCCTTTCTAATAAGTATAGTCAAATAAAACAAATCAATAAGTTGGTCTCTAATTCATCACCTCTCACCCAGGAGACAGGAGGTATATTTCATCTCATGCCTTATTTACTGCAATAGTCTTCTGGTGGGTCCCTCAAGTCTCTCCTTACTCCAATCCTCCCTCCATTCAGCCACTGAAGTGATTTTTCTAAAATGCAGGTCCAATCATGTAATCCCCCTCCCCTCTACCCAATGAACTCCAGTGGCTTCCTTTCTCTTCCCCTCCCCTCCTCTTCCTGGCTGTTCACCATTCCTGAAATGCTCTTCTTCCTCTACTCTGTCTACTGACCTCCATGGATTTCTTTAAGTCCCAACTAAAAATCCCATCTTCCATGGTAAGCTTCTGGCAATGCCTCTTAATTCTAGTGCCTTCCCTCTGTTAATTATCTCCTATTTTTCTTGAATACAGCTTGATTTATATATACATTTGTTTGCATGTTGTCTTCCCCATTAGACTGTATGCTTCTCAGGGGCAAAGACTGTCTTTTGCCTCTTTTTGTATCCCCAGTACTTAGTACAGTGCCTGGTGCATAGTGGAGCTTAAAAAATGTTTTTTGATTAATTCAATTAACTATGAGCTCCAAATAGATTGTACCTGAATATAACATTGAGCTATTACCAAAAAATGTTAGCTCTGCTTTGTGCCATCTAAAGGTCTGATCCCCAAGTCTTATCTTTGTCTGCTTTTCCTACAATAACTTCAGCTTATTGATCAAGCCTCATCCACCTTGATTACTAATACAATCTTGATTCTTGTGACCACATTTCTGGTTACCCAGTTCTTCCAGGTGTGTATTGCTTATTTGAAGCATCTATGAGTTTAAAGATGTGATTTCCTTTCTTTGGTCTTTATGTTCCTCACCTGTAAAATGAGCTTGGACAAATTTTCACTGTTTCCTCTAGTGCTAAATCAATCAATCAATCAATCTATCTATCTATCTATCTATCTATCTATCTATCTATCTATCTATCTATCTATGTATCTGTCTGTCTGTCTATCTGTCTATCTATCCTATTTATTTATCTATCGGAGACAGATACAGGTGATATAGCCTAGCCTTATTGTTGCATATTAACATTATAAAATCCTTGACCATCCTTTTTTTGTTTGTCTTTGTGTTTGTTTTTACCATTGTCAGACCATTTTTTCAAGGAAAAAGTTTGTCTTAATTCTAATGTGTCTTCAATGATTGGTGAGAAGTGGGCTAAAGGTATTATTTCTCTTGAATCTCAGAAAAATGAGAGAGAGGATTGGTTAGAGGAAATGGAGATGTTTTATCTGGAGAAAAGAAGAGAAAAACAAATTTATGAGGTATGTAAAAGCAATCCTCAAGTACCTAAAGGAGTCTCATGCCTAAGGGGAATTAGACTTGTTCTGACTAGCCCCAGAGGGTAATGAGTACATTGGAAAGAATACTGAACTTGGAGTCCAAAGACCTGAGTGCAAATCTTGGCTCCTATTACTTACATGATGTTGAGAAATCAGTCAATCTTTCTGGGCCCCATTTTTGTCATCTGTAAAATGAGAAGTTTGCATTAGATGGCCTCCAAGGACAATCTTAGCTCTAGCTCTATAATCCCATAAAATGTCAGAGAGACAAAATGTAGTTCTATGTATATCAAAACTTGATAAAACTTTCTGTTGTCCCAAAGAGGTTGTTGTTTCTCTCTGGTTCTCAAAGTGGACCGTGACATCAGGGAGGTGACGCCATGACATGCAAGTGAATTGGATTGAAGTGAGGGAGGGCTGTACAAAGTCACTGGCCTAATTTTGTCCTCTGGAGTGATCTGGGTCTAATGGCAAGATCTATAGATGAACTGGCCAACAATAGGTACCAGGCCAAGCCCCACTTGGTCATTGTTGGGGCCCTGATTGGCTCAGAGTGAATGTAAATTCTGTTGTCCCAAAATGGAATGGGTTACTTTGAGTTGAGATGCGAAGGATGAATAGCTAAATGACCACTCATTAGGAATATTATAAAACTGTGGTATCAAAGGCAAATCGAAATGGGGCCTCTAAACTTGACCTTCTCAGTATTTCCTTGTACATCAGATACATGTTGACATTGTTGCACCTCAGAGCTCACCATTTCTTGAAACTGCACCTTTTCCAAGATCCTGAGTTTCAAAATTTCACTCTCCAAGCATAATGCATTGCAGTTGAAATCTGCTTTGGGTTTGGGCCATTCTTAAAAATTTGGAGGACCCTTGGTAGGATTTGGGAGAGGGATAGGATAGATCAGTTCTTAAACTCTAATTTTTCACTGGCAACTTTTCCTACTCAGAGTCACTGAAGCTCAATTCATCGATCCTGATGGTGGCAAAATAGGTTGTTATGGTAACAACTTATGTTCTGGTCTCCATAGCAATACCTATGGATAATCATACTAACAATAATAACAATCATGCCTTAAATTTCAATTGGCCTCTTCTAGGAGTAGCTCCAAGTGTGAGCTAGCATTTTCTCTTTTGTCTCTGGGAGTGGTTCTCAGGGACCAATCACTTTGTATTTTGTAAATGAGAAGTACAGCCTGAGGTCAAATGGCTTATTCTTTGGGGGCTGGGGAGAAGAGATAGGACAGGGATGGTGATAGTGATAATCAAGCAGTCAAACAATAAGATTTAGTTAGCTCCAGCTGTCCCTGTATTCATGCCAGTGCTGGTGCTGCCACGCAATAGCGTGCACCTTTTGACTTGTATTCAATTTAATGATGGCAAACCTTTTCTTGCTTGCTAGGAGAGATGGGAAGGTAGATGATGTCAATTTTGCAGCTGGTGTTTGCAAAACACTACAAATTCCTTAGAGCCAGGATGTTCCATAAATGGAAGCCCCATTACTATCTCTCTTGTTTTTATTTAACAAAAGAAGCTTTCATTTAGCTGCACAAGCCTCTCAGGTGAGTGCTTTCCTTCATGAACAAATGGGCATACTGCCCCCTTACCCTTTTTCTGTAAGGCATTTCTTGTCTATCTTTGTGAATTGGTTTTTATGAAAATGTGGCATTAAGTGAAACAGGATTATCAAAGGCAGACAACTTCCATCAGAACAGAACTAGGCAAAGTGGAGCTGGAACTTCTCAAATAAGTAGTTAGAGGTATGGGGCACAGTGGCTGCCCTGGGTTGAGAACCAGTTGGTTTGGTGGCAGCTGCCCAGGGATGGGGGGCAGAGACTGTGCTTGTGATGGGTATGTCTATAGGAAGAAGCCATGCGTGGAAGTTGGAACTACAATATCCCACCTTCCTGCCTTCTAAGCTCATAAAACCAAGTTCTGTAGCCAGCGCCTGGATACAGTGGTTTCTAATTTCTCAAACTCATGGATTTGCTGCCAAGCCTAGAAACATCTGTTTCAGAGTTACTCTTTGGTCATCTGTACTCAAGGAAAGAAACAAAGCAGAAGTCGGTAGCCCTTTAAGCCTTGAGGTCCAGACTCAGGCTCATCATAACAAGCCTATGCTTTCCCCATGATAGGTAGGCCAACATCACTGGGGCTTGGTGTGGGAGAGCAGATTTTGCCTTCTAGCCCCACTAGAAGTTTCAGGGAGAATAAGGAGTCTCAACACTTATGTCAGATGAGAAGAGAAAGTCATAGAAGAATCTGTATTGCTTTTAAATGTATGTCAAGTGGGCAGCTCTTTTTGCTCAGTGGCTAATCCAAGTGAGGGGAAAGTGATTTTTTTTCTAGGTCACACAGCTAGTAGGTAACCAAGCCAGGCTTTTAATACATGTCACCTGAGGCCAAGTCAGGCGTTTGTTCCACTATACTGCCATTATCTCCTCTAAACTATGCTGAGATCCTCTCTATTTTCTCTGCTCTTTTAATAATTTAATCTAAGTCTTTGGGTTCAATCATCACCTCTATGCAAATTTCCAAATCATAGCCTTATATCTCTTTTGAACTCTAGTCCCATATTTCCAGCTTTTTGATGGGCATTTCCACTGGTAGCCTCTGCTAACACTTCAAACTCAACAGTTCCCAAACTGAACTCATCATTCTTTCCTCTTTACCCCAAATATTTCCTTCTTGTCATATTCCTTATCTTTATTGTTGGTACCACCACTGTCACAGTCACCCAGATGTGACATCATCTTTTATTCTTTCCTTTCTCTTACTTGGTGCTTAATAAATGCTTGTTGATTGATTGATTTAAATCAGATACCACGTCCTGTTGATTCTATTTTTACATCATCTCTCACATATGTCCCTTTTCACTCATATTGCTATCTTCTTGTTCAAGTCCTTAATTACCACTGGCCTGGACTATTATAGTGTTTCTTTGCTGTTCTTCCTGTTACCACTCTTCTGTTTAATTATTTTTCACTCAGCTATTAGGATAATTTTTTTCTTAAGGTGTAGGTCTGGCAACAATAATAATAATAAAAATGGACATCTGTATCATTCTTTGAGATTTCCAAATGTTTTATTATTCCTGTTGATCCTTACAATAGCACTGTTAGATACCACAAATAATGTTGTCCATATTTTACAGAAGAGGAAACTGAGTCTTAGATTAAGTTACTTGCCTATGGTGTCACAGCTAATTAAGGTTAAAGGCTAAATTCAAATCTATGTCTTCCTAACTCTTAAGTACAGAACTCGATCCAACATATGTGATGCTGCCATTCACATCTCTCTCTGGCTCAAAAATTGTCAGATGTTTTCTATTATCTCTAGGATAAAATCCAAACCACTTAGCCTGGCACATAAGACCCTCCACAACCTGGCTCCAACCTATTTATCCAGCCTAATTGTACATTAACCCCATTTATGCCCTCTATGCTTCCGCTAAACTGGATCACTAGCTTTTCTATGAACTTGACATATCTTCTGCTTTCAAGCAGTTGCACATGCTATCTCCTCGCCTACAGATTCATGTAGCATCCCCACCCCCACACCAAGTTTGAAATATGTTTCTTTCTCATTTCCATCTTTCAGAATCTTTCTCTTCCTTTAAAGTTCAGGTCAGCTATCACCCCCTCCATGGAGCTTTTTGTGGTCTTTCCCAGTGAAAATTTTCTCTCATTCCTCTAATTTTCCTAGAGAACTTTGGATTTCTTCTTTCCCCTCATCACTCCCAATTTGTATATTTCTCTGCCTATATTTTTGTCTAACTCATTCCTTTCCCTGAGGGAATTTATTAATTAAATAATAAATAAAACAATCTCTTTGAAGGTCAAAAGTGTATAATAATTTCCTTTGTATTGCCAGTACCTAGGGCAATGTTAAGTGACCACTGTATGCAAGATAAGTCTATCATATTAATGAATGAATGCTTCCACTCATGCTACTCCCTATGTCTGAAATGGCCCTCCTCATTGCTAGATCCCCGAATGCTTCAAAGATTTATCTCTGCTTCACCACCACCACCATCCAGTTTGGGGAAAGCCATTGAACACCCTAAGCAAGACTGCAAATAAAGGACTTGGGTGTTCTGAGTCCTTTACAATGTCTGTCCAGGTAGTCTTGTGCATAGGGACCTAGTAGTTACACATTCCTGCTTCTGGTCATTTTGCTTTGATGAAGTCCATGTAGATGATGGTTCAGGCAGCCATAGAAAAAATGATTCATTTGTGTAGCAATGATGCAGAAAGCAACATGTTTAAAAATGACTCCTTTTCTCTGTTTCTGAGAGTAGTCCATTCATCTCTGACAGTGTAATTCTTCTTATTATAAATCATGCAATAACCAGGGCAGCGAGAACATTTACTGAATAACTATTGGAGGAAAATGTGGCAGACCTTAATGTAGTCCATTGGTCCATGCTTTTTTTTTTTTTTAAAAAAAGGTTCCCAACACCCCTACAATTCAAAATCCCTTTCTCTTTGTCAATATTAATTCTTTTATCCTTGTTGCCAGATGCAACTGAAAACCTTATCCTAGCCTTAAAACCTTACTTACAGACGAGGGGTCTCTTTGTTCCCTTGACAATTGGTTAATGGCCAGGCGGGTCTTGTTAAAGAATCCAAGAGCCAACTGTGCCAATCATTCTGGTCCTTCCTGACACCTGGTTCTTGACTCTTGCCTGAATCACATCCTGACAATTATGATAATGGTGAATGCTCTTAGCCATGGCATTCACTCCCACTCTCATTTGGTGAAACCTTGCTTTACTCATTATTTATACTACAGACTTAAGTGTTCCACCCTCATTTCCCCCCAGCAGAAGCATGGTATAGAGAAAAGAGTGATAGATCTAGAATCAGAGGACCTGGGTTCAAACTATGACTCTATGATTTATTTGTTGGGGAGGGGAATGGATACTGGGAGAAGTTTATGTGATGTAAAAAAAAGATATCAGTAAAACAGTTTTTTTAAAAAGGGTTAAGAGGTTCTAAAGCAGGAGTTGTTAACATTTTTTTTGTGTGTGTTATGGACCCCTTTGGTAGTCTGGTCAAGCTTATGGACTCCTCAGAATAATATCTCCAAATGTACAAAATAAATATTTAGAATTACAAAAGGGAAAAATACTATTTGTATGACCTTGGGCATACAATGTCTCTGGGATTTAGTTTCCTCATCTGTAA